CAGCTAATGGCTGCAGGCGTAATGCCTCTCTCACCCATATGTTGTGGCGATGTCTAATAGCTACCTCTTTTGAGCAGTAGCCATAATACAGATAAACATAACAATGGAATGCTCTTTAATACTTACTGCACACATTTTCTTTTAAAATGTTTACCTGTTGATTGGAAGATAACACAAGGCCAACATAAATGGATTTTTTGTGCTCTTTTGACAGCACAAAGGTTGATACAAGAACACTGGAAAGATAAACATCCATCTCCTAAAGCACAGTAGATTGAGGACCTAACAACACTTTCAGCATTTGAATAGGTAAGATTAAATGCCTACAAATGGATAAATATATGATTATTTGGCCTGCCTTTCTTGAAGCTTATGCTCAGGTGTTTTCATTGAAGGTTGCATTTTATATACTTAAAGTTTTTTATATTCACCTACTGTCAAGTGATCAGTTTCACTTATGTAAGAAAACTGTATTTTTTTCTTTCTTCACATGGTTGTGTTGAAATTCATATAAAAATCAATTATGTGTGCATCCCTATAGCCTCCCAACATCATCTGGGAGGCCATAGGATTTTCTTTTTTAACTTTCCAGCTCCGAGATCTTGCAAATGAAGTGCAACACAATAGAAATGTGTGGCTTCTACTGTAGATACTTTCATAACTGAGCAAAGATCAAAGAGCAAATGCTAGAGGAAGGGTACAAGGAGCCTGCACAAAGATCTAGAAACAGAGTTGGCCTGTCCTGTGTTGAGCTGTCTCCTCAAAGGAACTAATGAGAACTCTGTTACCCAGGCTGCATCCTGCTGAATAGCTGAGAAAGAAGAAGTCATTTCAAGGGCTGCTGAAAATGGTAGCCGTTGGAAACAGTTGCTAGACTACACATTGCTTTGCCAACGTGGAGCCCAACCTTCCCTAAATCACTTAGCCTTTGGAAACTTTGCTGGCTAGGACAAGCACAAGGTGTGTGTCTGTAGGGGAACATATAGACAGAAGGGAGAAAGCAGCTATCCAGCTTTCTTTTAATCTATAAGGTCAGTTAGTTGTGGACCCCTTGTTCATCCTTCCTACCTAAAACTGTATCTTGGTAAATACTAGAATGAAAGTACTAGAATACGGAAAGACTGCTGGTGCAAAGCCAAGCTCTCTGCAGTGCTGGCTTGTATCATCCAACAGGGCATCACCCCCGCCACCATCACGTAGCTAACATAGCTCATGTACCACCTCCTGATATACCACCCATAGCTAAGTTCACCTGCTGATGAACCTCTCATGTTTGCTGACTCCAGTGCAATTCCCCTTGTTCCACCAGCAATATTTTCAAAGGCTCCAACTGTGCCAATAATTAAGAGAAAACTGGGGATGTTCACAGTACTATTGCAGAGCCTGCCTGGATGCACATGTCACAGCAAGCAACCCTATGTGGTTTCTATGGCACAGTTTTTCCCCCTGGATGTGCCTCCTAGATGGCCAAGTGGTTTATATACATGTGTGGTTTCCACCCTCCTTGCTCTGGCCTCCTGCTATTGGCACGTATCCCATCAGCCACCATGCCTGAAATTCAATCCCATGCTGAACGGCTGCAGCAGTTCTTGCAGCTGCTGCTCTTTCCAGGGGACTCTGTGGTAGTTGCCTAGCAGGACCATGGAAACTATGATGATGGATTTGGACAACCAGAGAAAACATGGTGAGGCATGGAAACCATAGAACAGTCCATCATTGTGGTTTCTAAAAACCAGAGTACCATGATGAAATAACACGACAGGGTCCAGATGACACAACAGACCATCCTGCAGAAGAAACCACCTTGACCTGTTGAGTCATGCAATCTGCTCACCAAAAGCTCTGTGTCTAAGCCAACCACATCCAGTGATGGTACTGTGAAGCCACCTTCCAAATTACCAGATCTGTTCCCTTGCTTTAGCTGCATCTTTTGCTCTGTGCACTTGTTTAGTCATCCGCAGGAGCACTGATGCTGAAGGATTTCATTCAGTGAGAGGTAGCATATCATGATGGATGTAGAGGCATTCGTTTTCTGACTCTACAAGAGAGTGCTTCTAGTTATGGACTTCAGAGTGACATTTGTCCTGATGAGACGTCAGTATTGGCACTGTAAGGCTAGAAGACATGCCGTGACTGTTGCCACACTGCTGAATCTTTTGGATAGCGCAAGAAAATGGACCAAATGGGAACATCAATGATGTTGTCAAGTTGAAGTACTGCATATTCTAGGAAGAATTCTGTCAAATCAAAGCACCTCATTTACTGCTTCCACATTTACTGTTGCTTCCACATTTACTGAAGATTGTAAGGTGGCAATGACTTCATAACCCATCACAGATCAGCATCAAGGGTTGATTCAGAAACTCAGCAAGACAACCAACTACTCCATTACAGACAATGCCAACATCTCTCCTGTCAGATACATGCTGCTGGTGTTTCTAGAATCTCTTCTTGTGCTCTGTTACCAGCTGGATTCCTTTCAGTGTCACTGTTCCATCTGGCTGTATCACAGATGGAAAGCCTTGCTTCATCCACCGAATGGGTACTACTGTTTCAGCACCAATAGCTTTGATTTTACCAACACTGTCAGCTTCTTTATATTCAGAATGGTGACTCCATCCTCTTGCAGCTGCATCTGGCATCTACTGAAGACTGTAACTACATTAGCCAGAAAGAACAGGCATATGAGCTTATTCTCTTCAAGATGGGAAGCAGGAAACCCATGTACTGCATTGTCCTCAGAATTCTTTGCATGAAGACTAGGAAATACCAAGGTACTGGAACAGAATGCAGTGGTGAAAAAGAAAACCCTGTCTGCCTGGCCTAAAAAAGCGTGGGAATTACAAGCAGACAGCAGTTGTTGGCTTCCGCAATGTCCCAAAGTTCTTTGGATCTGGGTCTTGATGTGTGGAAATGTGCTCAGGCCTACAAGCTGATGGCTGATGTGACCATTGACCAAATTATTTGTTAATGTTCATGCAAGATTTGACCAGTGGACCTCACAGCAGAACTTCTGCAGAGTGTTCAGCAGACACAAGATACTTGATCATTAATTATCCCTCATGTGGGATTGGAAGAGAGCCCACAAACTAGACTTCTCACCTATGTTGACAGATGCTCCATCTATAGCCTGGAGGATACATACAGGAAGGTGTTCCGAGCTGCTGCAAATCCAACAGCCTTGCTGCCCCCAGCACACCTTTTGCATCATGGCTTCAGGATGATTAACACCTGCCAAGCAGTACTTTTCATCCCCCAATTTTGTAACGATGGTCACTGTTGCATCCAGTTTGTCAGTTCTGGTTCAGTCTACAATCCACTGCATGCAGTCATTGTGCTCAGCTGGAGTCAAGTGCTGAAAAGTTCTGCACTTTTAAAGGAAAGCAGATGCTAACTGCTCTTGCTGGAAATGGGTACCCACTCAGATTCAGTTTCTCTGCTTCTCCATATCTGTGCAGGAGGAGGGCTCCAATTTTGTCTCCTAGTTTTTCACTGGTCATGGATCTTGCTTTTCCTATACAGGAAATCCATGTGGTTTCTGCAGGTGTCAAGACTACTGTTGTTCCAGAATTGTTTTATTTCTGTGAATACTCAAACATTTTTTTCCAATTGGGGGGATTGGAAAACAATTTTAGTATGTCAGGAAACACAAAACATGCTCTACGGCATTGGTCATTTTGCTAAAAATGTCCAAAGAAGTCTTTTGCACTATACTTGATTAAAGGATTTTTCTCAGAGGCCCCCAAGCAATATTGCTCATCCCATCCAATTCCAGACTGTGATGATCTGACCATTTAAGGGGCGGGGGAGGACTATGTGAGAAGAATCATACGAGAGGAAGTGTGGCATATGGGCTCAGTGATGTATATTCATTGTTACATTTGTAGTGCTTTGTACCCACACTGTATACCTACATATACTGTTGATATTTATGCATGTTAATATTTATGACTAGTCAAGCAGAAAGTCCCAATAATATTTGATTTGTGTAAGGTCTGAAAGGAAACAGTAATCATCTTAAAGTTCTATTTCAGGGATGGCCAGACTTGCTCAATGGAAGGTAAATATCAGATGCCTGAGGGCTGCAAGTGGGCGCCCCAGGCAGGGGGCGGGGAGTGAGTGGCATGTGGTAAGTGGATGCCACAGGTGCCCATGGTGGTAAGCAGCAAGCCGCAAAACAAACTGAAAGATTCGCATGCAGCTCCTGATCCTCGGTTTGCCCACCCCTGCTCTATTTCTTTATTTTTTTCTCCTCAATTTATTTTATGAAACAACCTGAAGTCTATGTTCCTAACTGCCCAGACATGTAGTTACAACTGCACAGTTTTTTCCAACGGCACAAAATATGTTCAGCTGCACATTAGAATAAAGTGTGCAAGCTGAAAGCAAAGAAGCAAGCAAGTGATTATTTAGGAAGGCACACTGAGAGAAGGCAGCCTTGCCTGGTTGCCCACCAAGAGGACCCTCTGCCGACATTATTGCATTCCTGCCTGTCAGTAGATCATCTGGAAGCACTGCCAGATCTTGGGCTCCCAGACTGGGATCCTGAAGTTTGACCCTGGCAGTGCCAGTGTGCACAAACATAGACAGAAGCTTAAATTATTTAAGTCTCCAGGAAAATAGAGATTTTGGCACCCTATATTTTCTTCCTGAAGCAAAAGGTGAAGTGTTGCCTTCCCCATCCCATATCCTGATAACTGAAGGTCGCCAGTGCTGGCAATGGGTCAACAAGCTGCGCTGCACGTGGGACTTAGGGGGGAGGGGACTGGGGGGCAGGGGGCACGCCATATTCCCTGGACAGCTTTGGCACCTTGCTCCTGCCCCCTGCCCCTCTGCCGCTGTTGTCAAAGACAGCTGCTCCATTCTGCAGGGCCAGTCCCAGCCGTGGAACTAGGAGGCATACACATTGCAGAGTCAACGCAGAAAGTGAATATTTAAGTGTAGGTTTCCTTTGTGGTGTGACTGGGTCACCAACACCCTTCAATCAGTACGGTACTCACCGGGTCAAAGGTGGGAAACCGATGAACAGCAGATCGAAACATGTAACTCCTACATTTAGGGGAGGGAGAAAGAGTGAAAGTATTTTCAGTTCTTTTGAAAAATCAGTTGCTTTGCCAACAGTGCCAAGTCATATTTTTATGTCTTCATCTCTCTGGGTTCACTGGATCTTAAGGCCACCTCAATACTGTATTGCCCATGTATAGAATTTATTTATTTATTATAAATTTATAAATAAAATAAATTTATTAAAACATCTATTTAGAATGCAGGCTTCAGGTTTTTTAAAGCAGCTATACTGATCTAATTTTCATGTGTTGCATTTAATTGTTTTTGCTCCTGGAAGAGGCCTAATTTGAGTGTTCCTCCTGCTTCTAATGATTAATGCCATTAAAAAAAGGTTACTGCCGTTAGCCACTTTGCACTTGTTCTTTCTGATGTGCTCTGGGTCTTCATCCCAGCCAGCCTGCCACAGAATACCCTGGTTCTTTTAATGTGCTAGAACACGTTGCTGGTGCCCATGTTGCATAAGGTCACTATGGTTGCTATAGTAAGATTAGTGGAAGTCTCCAGTTTGGATGGCCCTATAAGGGAATTGGTCAAATTCATGAAGGATGAGACTATAAAGGCTACTAGTCCTGATGGGGTTGTGCTGCCTCCAATAATAGAGGCACTAGGCCTAGGTACACCAGTTGCTAGAGAACTTGGGCAGGAGGGTGGAGTTTCACTGATGTCCTATTGTGGGCTTCCCACAGGCCGCTGGCTGGTCACGGCATGAACAAAATAGAGCCAGTAGGACATTTCTTCTGTACTTCTGCTCCTAGGGAAGTAAGACAGTTGTGCACAGAGTCGTCCATGATCACACACCCCTCTGTCTGTGTCCAGACACTCCCACAGCCTCCCACTGCCCTTTGTGGGGTCCAAGTCAGGCATTCAGGGCATAAAACCCAGTACAGTGTAGCTATGGCCAGCCAGGGAGTAGTACATTTCTACCTATTCATGCCTGTGAATAAACAGAAATGCATTTTGGAACCCACATCTTCATTTTTGCCATCTTATTTCCATAGTGGTAGAATCCAGCTTTTAAAAACCCTCTTAAGGTCTGGCAGGCTGAGACCCCATTAACCTGTGGGTCCCGACCTACCAGTCAATGATCAGCAGGAGAGGTCAGACCTCCCTAGCCTGGTGTCCTTCATAGGAGTGTTGGGCTGAAATCTCTGCCTTTCTCAGCCACCATGACAATACTCGCTGGAGACAATGGGAGTTGGTCCAAGTCACATATAAGACACCAGGGTGGAGAAGACTGAAGTAAACAATAGTGGATTAAATGGACAAAGCTTGATGCAACATGAACTTTTTACCTAAGTTCCTAGTGTGTACAGAAGCCTTCCCCGACCTGGTGGCCTTCAGAGGCATTTGGACCACAACTCCCAGAATTTCCACCCAGCAGGGCCATTGACTGGGAATTCTGGGTGTTGCAGTCCAATGTGTCTGGAAGCTACAAGGTTGGAGAAGGCTGATGTAGAGTGCACTGATTTGGCTCCTTTTCTCCAGAGAGACCAAGAAAATGGAGGCCAGGCCTCCATGGCCCTTTCTTGAGGGGGGAAAAATCTTTCAATTTAATCCCGCTTTTTCATTAGTAGCAATTGTTGTGGCCTTGGATGGCCAGGCCCTTTGCCCTCTGACACAGGAAATGATGTTATTTGGAGCAGCAGTTCAGAAATGGGGCGGGGGGGGGGGGGAGAGAAAAACTTTAAAATAAAGAAAGTAAAAACAACCTATATAGAAAGAAAAATGGAATGGGAAGGTCTATTGACTTACTTGGTTGGAAATGTGGGAACCGGAGGAGGGAAAAGATCATACTGTCCTGGATCTAAGTTGATATTCTGTGGAGAATCAAGAGCACACAGTATAGATGGAGGTACTTCAAATGTTACAGTATTATTTAAAATACTTGGGCAAATACTTCCAAGGTGGTGAAGAAATCTAGGTATGTAAAATTTCTCTACTGAATAACAAACAGAACCAAACTGAGCAATTCACAATTCAACTTCCAGTTTTTAACAGCAGCTTTGAAATGCCCTGCAAGTTGAGAAGAGCACTGATTGGATTATTCTTCAAAGGGAGCTGATGGTTGGATCGAGGTGGTAATTCTAAATATGAGTTGCCACAACAGGAAAAGCCATGTTTGTTTTGCCTACTCACCATACTTGGAAGATGTGTGTGTTTGAGGAGAACCTCAAGAGAAAAAATCTGAAGAACTGCATTGCTCCATGTAGGAGCACATGGTTGTCAATCTTCAGCATCCCAGTTCCATAACCAGCTTTAAAGGCCATGACCAACTATTTGAACCATGACCCCAAAACAAAATATAGCTCTTTAAATGCCAGCACTTTGTATTAAAGTTATGTAGGAATATAGGGAGCTGCCTTTTACTGGTTTATCTTGCCCAGTTTTGCAAGGCAACTGGCTGGCTGCAGCTGTTCAGGATATCTGAAAAGGAATTATTCCATCTACTTAGGGAGGCCAAAAACTGAAGTTAGGGATATTTGCATTGAAATGCAAGGCAAACAAATTTCTCCCCCATCCCTATTGCCAGCCTGATAAAAACAAGCACATTCCTGGAGCATGTACGATTGTACATGCCTTCATAAATACAGGAATAGAATGGACTTTGCTCCTGCTGTCTCAGTGTTGGATCTGATTGTATGAATGCAGGAGGTTTCAGAAGTTGTATCTGTGTACTATCTGGAATGGTACAGCCTCATTCTATTGCCTCACTCCAATGCAGGTGGAGACTCAGCCCAGGATAAGTCCTATTGGTGTTCCAGCTCTTCAACTCTGAGTACATGGTGGCGAAAACATAGAAGGAGTTAATGCGTGGGACCTGCAACTAAATGTTGCAGCATGGGGATTTCCTATTCTGTCTTCCAGACAGACAGACATGCCCTCTTTTATGATGTTTCATGCTATTCAACCCAGTCATTTCCAGCTCCAGTGCTTCAGCTCTGCACACTTTGCATGCTTGGTCCTCTCATTTTGGCCAGTGCGGTGTAGTGGCTAAGAGCATGGGCCTGGGACTCAGACCATCTGGGTTCTAGTCCCCGCTCAGCCATGGAGCCAACTGGGTGACTTCGGGCCAGTCACAGATTCTCAACCCAACCTACCTCACAGGGTTGTTGTTGTGGGGATAAGATGGAGGAGGAGGAGGATGTAAGCTGCCTTGAGCCCTTTGTAGGAAAAAGGCAGGATATAAATCCAAAATTAAAATGAAATAATAAAATAAAATAAAATATCCCCCTTTGGTATTTGTCCCCCTAAGGTTTTCATTACTTGGACTTCCCCCAAGCCCATCAAGTCCTACCTCTTTTGTGTGTGTGTGTGTGTGAGGGGGAGGGGTCCATTTTGGTTGCTGCAGGATCTCCGCACTCAGATGATGAGTTCACTGTTAGCATCTATATAAGTTGTGGATGCGTGGATGCATGTGTACACACTTGTGTGAGATGTGATAATGAGGCTAAGTATTTGCGGGGAGGGATTTTTCGAAACTACCCAGTTTTGTCTTTGTCCCTGGCAAACACTCACATTCAGCCCCAATTTTCTGAAACTGTATTTGGCCCTTGGGCTGAAAATAGGTTGGACACCCCCAAGATGGAATAGCCTGAATACAATGCTGCTGCTGACATCCAAGATGTCCGGCTATGTATTATGCATGTATACAACATTGCTTTAAACTTTTGTTCTTAGGATTACTGCTACCATGTTATGTTTACCTTATCCCTATAGGATAAATGTGAGGGACAGTCCCTTGATGTGTTCTTAAAAGAATAGGTTGCTGGCCTTTTCCCTGCCAGTTCCACAAATGACGGAGGATTGTATGAGAAAGTATCTGGTAGGGTCAGGTCAGGCATCTGCTGAAAGATGGACTTCCTCTTTCTGCCTTCATTTCTAAAATTATATGTTGCTTTCACTGGGTTCAATTGAGCATCTTCAAGAAAATCCCGGACTGGGTAAGAACCTGGTATTGGTGTTGGCTGATGGAAACAAACATAACAACCAAACTGTTTTATATACATGTTGGCTGATATAACTTTAGATTTCTCCTGCCTCTTTTAAACAAACGCTAGGAATTAGATCCAGATTTGTGCACTCTTAGAGTAGACCCAGTGAGATCTAATGTGACCGGGATGCTGCTAGCAAAATAGGTGGCATTTAAATACTTAAATAAATAAGATTCTCATGATGAACTGAAGTCCTATCAATTTCAGTGGGTCTACTCTGAGGCTGTGATTAACCCTGGATCCATCTTTATAGATGCACACGACTAATTATTCACTTATGCAGCCCAGTATTTGCAGTGGTACCTTGGCTCACGAACATAATCCGTTCCAGGACTCTGGTTGTGACCCAAATTGGTCATGAACCAAGTGAAATTTCCCCATAAGGTTCAATGTAAATAAGGTTAATCCATTCTGTAACCATTTTTTAAATCAGAAAAATGTGAAGCAAAGTGGCAAAGAACAACAAAGATCCCGGCCATCTCTCCCCCACCCGCAGCACAACCACAATCATGCCTGTCATCTGGGGCGGGGGGGGAGACGGGCGCGACCATGGGCCCGCTGGGGGCGGGGGAGAGACGGGCATGAACGTGGGTGCACTGAGGGGGTGCACTGGCAGGGTGGAGATGGGCGCCATCGTTCTGGGGGGGGAGATGGCCAAGATCGCAGTTGCACTTGTGCAGGGAAGATGGGCGCGATCTCGGCCACCTCCCCCCACCCCCAGCACGATCGCGGCCATCTCCCCACTCGGGGGGGCGGGGGGGAGATGGCTGCAATCACGGTCGCCACCCAATGTGGAGTTCGCAACCTGTGTCAAAATGTTTATGAAATTTTTGTTCGCAACCCGATTTGGTAGTGAACAGAGACGTTTGTGAGCCAAGGTACCGCTGTATTTTATTTAATTCTTAATTAAGAAGTATCTCACCTTTGTTCTAGTGAGCCCAGTGCAGTACACATGAGCGGGATCTCATGCAAACTCTTCTTTCTCACAGCACTATTGTGAAGTTTTAAATTGGAATGTAGCCAGGTGTGCACAGGTGCACCCACTTGCTATTCATTCATTTAAATATGAACATGCTAGTCTTTCATCCAAATTTGATTCCAGAGTGATCACTCTTATTATTATAGTTGTATAATAATACAATGAATAATACAGCAGAATTCTATTTCATTCAGAAAGCAGGACTTTATGCGTTATGTTTAATGATGATCTTCCACTAGCAAAAAGGAAAGGATTCCTTGGGAAGATTGAATTTTCCCTGCCCACTTCCAGAGGTTTGGGGATCCCACCCCCCACCCCTGCAGCTGGCCTGGCAGGTTTGCAAGGGGTAAAAGGAGAGAGGATGGGGAAGGAAATACCCATGGAATGAGTGCAAGTCTGCTTGTTTGAAACTGGATTTAGCCCAGCAATGCTAAATAAATACTGAAGCTCCTGATTTACTCCAGAGGTACTTCAAAGAGGCATTTCTAGGTTGTCTCTCTCTCTTCTTTTTCCCTACAACCTCTCTTGCATGTGTTTCTTACTGCAGAAAATCTTTAATTGCAAAGAGTTGGAACAGTTGCATGGTGGCTTCTGGCAGTTAATGCTAGTAGCCCACGGTGTATAATGCATGCATGTATGCATGTGTATATCAATATCACCTCTGCATCACCTCCCCAGATTAGCAATTACATCATACAATATCTATGTTTTTACCTTGGTAACTACAAAGCTAAGAATAATCAGATGAATGTTATACAGACCCGTAATGATTCCCTCCACCATGCATCTCTTCTAAGCTCAGGTAGTTCTTTTTCCTTCTCAATTACCTTCAAAGAAACCCAAATTATATGCTCAAAATGTGTACCATTGTATTTTTACCCATTTGCAGTATAAATTTATAGAAGCACATATGTTGATGTACATATGAACATGTACAAACAAACCTTCATATGCACCATAAAAAGCCAGTATGGCATAATCGAGTGTTGGAATGGGACTTGGGAGGTCTGAGTTCTAGTTCCCACTCTGCTGTGAAGTTTACTGGGTGCTTTAAAGCAGTCACGGACCCTCAGCTTAAGCTACCTCACAGGGTTGTTGTGAGGATAAAATGGAGGACTATATAAGCCACCTTGAGCTTCTTGCAGGAAAAAGGCTGAGATCTAGATCTAAATTATCTAAAATAATCAAAATCATGAAACACAATGATTTTCCTCATAAGTGTGGGGGTTTGCATGGCCTTGCATTCTATTTTACAGAGGGCAGCCTTCTCTTTGAAAGGCTATCAAAGCACAGACTTAAGTTGAAGAGTTTTCCAATCCAAGTCAGGTTTAAAGACAAAGAACCCTAAGAATAGAGAGCAGCAAATACCTTGACATTGACCATTAGCAGTTTGTACCTGGACAGCAGACTGGCAGGCATACAAAGCGCCAGACTCATGGTGAGGTGTATTGTGTTTCTAGGAAAATTCTGATCATTACTTCTAAGTTTTTATCCATGAATACAAGTTTTCATGCCCTCTTTGCCGGTAGTGCTTTTTCTCTTTGTTGACAATACTGCAGAGGCTACCAGAATAATCCTACCACATCTTAAAATAAAAGATTAAAAACACAGGTGCTGGATATGTGAAAAAGATGCACTGAAGTTAAATTGTGGCAGGACATTTTCTATACAGGTGCTTCCACTCCAGAACTTTCTCCCTTGGGAGTTTCGACTGACTCACACCCATGCAGCTTTTGGAAAGGTTTATGAAAAAAGGGCTTTTAGATCTCCATCTCTCTTCCCAGGATGGTGCTTAATCTGTTAATATTTTTATATGCATCTATATCAGAGTTGTGAACAGATTGTTTTTAATTTAGTTTTCTTTTTAGAGTTTTATAAAAAAATGTATTAATATGGACTGTGTTGTCAATTGTGGGTTGCACTACTGCATTTTTCAAATGATTATGTTTTAATTCCTGTTCTGAGTGGCATTTAAGTCTATAAGGGCAAAAAGAAGGTCACCCATTAATGCTGGAAGACAAACAAACACATGAAAAAAAATGGTGATCCCAAGTTACAAGGAGTGGAATATCTCTTTGGGTCTAAAGAATGCTCATGTACCTGAGAAAGAGAACATCTGGCAGAATCGAGACATGCTGTCTGGAGCATATTGGGAGTTGTCAGACTTTTGTTTATGCCTAAATATGCCTAGGGTTCCACTCCTAAAGTGGGCCTGCATGAGCCTGGCTAATGCTGATAGGACTGGCTTGACTGGGGAGAAGAAGGGTTTTGTTTGGATTTTAAATCCATTTCTCCTGCAAGAATCCTGGCAGTGTGTCTTCCAGCAGTTGGGAGCATCAAATTGCTGTGTTTTCTGTGGAAAAATGAAACTCATTCAAAAGATAGACTTTTATGATGCTCTTTATTGGGACTGAATTCATCTTATGAGAGTCTGTCTAGACTTACTATCAAGCTAACCACAAGATATATAACATTTACCGAAGTCAGTTTGCTTGATCTGCTGCTATCACTGGTGCCAAACATGTTCTCTCTCTCTTTTTAAAAGCAATGCTCTATTTCTTGCAGATTATATCAGAGGTATAACAGTATCTGTGACATCACAATCCATGTGATGTTCTTATCCAGAAGAAGGAATATGGACAGACCATAAAGTCTGGAGACAGTGAGAAGCTTCAGAGAGAGCGCGAATCTTAAAAAGTTAGAACAAGGGGGTTTGCTGCTTGTGCCTGGTGAGGCCATTTTGCTTTTAAACCACTGACAAACTAATTGGGCAGGTTTTTGCACTGTTGAGAACCCTGCAAAACCTGTTTTGTCCAGAGGCAACAGTGGAAAACAATGAGATAAATCCAGTGTTGTACAAGCCGACCTCCATTTGCATGGCAGACTCTCATCCCTCTTACAGCCCTCCACATGCCCTCCAAATCCTCTCTGGAGGGTTGTCTCAAATCTCCAGAACAGATTTGGCAGCTGTTGCAAGGGGCAGGGCGAACCTGCTCCATCAGTATTTTATTTTGTTGTTAAACAACTGGATTCAACCCTATGTGTACACCACCATGGGAGGAAAACTCTCTCGAAAGGCATGCTCAGCTTTCTTAATAACCAGGCTCCTCCTTGCACACAAAGGCATTTTATTAAAATGTGCTAGGCAGAACTAAGTGATGGAAAAATAACACTGGGCCAAGGTCTGAAGGGTGTGTTGCTCCATGTACTCAGAGGCATGGGGACTGCAGAACACCTTTGCCACTAAGGAGAATTACCAAAGTATTTGCTGATATGGCATAGTAATTTATTGCTCAAAATCAAAACTCGCATTGAGAGCACACAATTGTGGCAAGTGCCCAAAACAGGTCTTTGGATCTCAACTTGTGGTTACAAGCTGGTTTCCTGACCTCAGGACTACTTGCCATTTTGCCCTGGATGTAGCCGTTTTGCTTGTCCATCCCAAACTGGCTCTTTCCAGATGTGCTGACTAAAACTCTTAGTTTCAGTTTTAAACTCTTTACTATATTTTAATTCTCTGTATTTCTGCCAAGTTTTACTCTGGTTTTGACTTTTTATATAGTCGTTTTAAACATTTAAATTTTATAGTGTATGTTATGGTTTAACATGATTGAACACCAGCCAAAGAACTTCAGCTAGTAGGCAGCACAAGAATGTAGTAACTTAATACATTCAACTCCCATTATCCCCATCCAGCATGGGGAAAAGATGCTCTGGATTGACTAAAAGGGCTTTAGTTTCAGATTTACACTGAAATGCTTTCAATCTTGTACAAAACATTCATGGAATTCTTTTTAATGTAAAAAACAAAGTATAAAGAAACTAAAGTGTATTTCTAGGGAAACCATAACATAAACCATCTTTACAGGGATTTAAGGGCTTACTCACATGTATGTATACAACCTCACTGTAGGGAACGACCATAAGACACTGACATGCACTGAAACTTTATCCATGTGAACTCAAAAATCAGTCCTGACAGAATGGGTCTCATTCCCAAGGGTGTATGCATAAGTTGCATCTGTTCGCCACGATCTTAGGGATAGGCTTTTCCCAGCCCTGCTACTTTACTTGAAGAACCGAAGTCTGAATGTGGGAATAAATACATGGATACTACAACTGATGGGGACAAACATCATGCTTGTAGAATCTTTTTTTTTTACTAGAACCCCGAGATCCTCAGCTGGTGGCAGTTGGTGATCTGTACTAGCAAGTTCTTTCATAGAAAAGACCTCTCCTAGTTTCTCCCTAAATATTTTTGCCAGCAGCCTATTAAACTTTCCTAGTTGTTTCAGTTGTTAGAAAACTGGGAATAAGAAATAAAAAACCTTTGCTAATCTATTGAGAATCACTCAGAAAGCTGCCAATAGAGCCCAATATAACTTTTGTCCACTTTTGCTCTACTATAAGGAACAAAACCTTTGCTAAAGTAACTATTTCTCTGTATGGATTCAAAACTATGCTAGCAGTGGGAACTGTGCCTGAACACATTTTCAAGCTTGAAACAGCAGCAGAAAAGGAGGGGGGGTTATGTAGTTCAGATCCATCAAATTAAAAAAGAGCCACTGCATAAATAGAGCAACCCAGGTTCATAAAACACTGACAAATAAAATTTAGGGGACTGTAGTGGTGAGAAATCTAGAGGGGCCCCATGCAACCAACCAACCAACCCCCCCCCCCAATCTAAGATGGAAGCAGATTAGATGGCCTGACCAGATGGACTCCTACTACCTGACTTTTGAAGGAGCTGATCTCCTAGCCAAGTAGATGGAAGAGCATCTTTCTCTCTGCTGCCACCTGACAGTAACTGCCACTGGGTGACAGCTATATATGCAGCACATATATGGGTGCTGAAACAAAGCTGTCTTCTTTTAACAGAAGCTTGCTCTTCAGAAGTACCTAGACCTGAAGCTTCTAAGTAGATGATCTAAAAAAAGACTGCCTTGACAATACTGAGACAGCTTTGCCTAGGAAGTTCTGATCTTATAGCAAATTGGATAGGCTAGGCTAGAAGTCATGTCGCAGTGTCATGTTGCACACCAGGAAAAAAAAACCTGATATGGAGAGGGCAAAGCTCATTTCAGTGTAGAACCTTTATCCAACCATGTTAAGATTTCTTAAAGATAAGTGTATTTCACATGAATGCTTCCATGCTAATATGTTCTCTCAAGTCCCATTGATTTGGATGGAGGCTTAGGATAGTAGCCTTTATATTTCCCATTTATGATTAAATTAGTGTGAAATGTGCCATTCTTCAAGCAGGCATGGGGAGGTATTTTGCTGTAATGTTCAGTTCATTAAGTTACTACCCCAGCAGAAACAGGATAGAAAGTTAAAAAGAGGCATGTAAGAAAGGTACCAGAACTTAACCATTACAGCTACTGGTAAACTATCCACCACCATCTGTGGCCTTGGTATATGTGTTTGTCATGTGGATTGGTGCTAACTTCTCCTCCACTTGAACAAAGGACTGTTGAAATGCATCAAAAGATGGTCTCATGCTCATTCTTTGAGGGAGGCAGGGCCTGGTGGTGCTTTCTGCTGCTTGAAGGTAGAATTCAGACTCCTTGCCCCAAGTTTGCTTAACCTATCTCCCCAGCCCATTAAATCTTTTCCTATGGCGATAAACTTATCTTCATGGGTATCCAATGTCATTTGTAGGGACATTTTGTAACTATTGTGACAATCTTGTGCATAGTTGGGGCCCTTTCATTGTTCTGTTGTCAGTTACTACACATCTCTCCTATATCTAATGAAAAGGTATTTAATATACACACGCACCTTTTCCACAGAAATGTTAGACTCATCAACAACTAATTTTGATGAAAAGCGGCGTCCACCAAGCATTTTTCACTTCTCTGTGACTTTATCAGACTGCTGTAATCCAAGACTGATGGGAGTGGAAATTCATCACAAGGCAGTTTTCTCTGACATACAGATGTAGATATGCTTTGCTCCAGTGTTTAGAACAAAGGCAGTATGCCTAATCTCATGACAAGGAAGTTCATATCCTGCCAGCCCTCTCAATAGGCAGGTGTATGATTGTCCTAGATGCCACGTTTTACCCCCTAGTAGCTCCTATGCAGTGTCACTACTGACATTATGATACAGTGCAACAGAAGTCCCAATCAGATGGGCTGGTTTTAGATAAAGCAGAAGTAAGTAGAAACAACTCCCTTTGGGTTGTATTTTGTTTAAAATGAAGATGGCCCAACACAGCATCTCCTCAGTTATAATCAGTAAACTTCCTAATTGCCTTGCTTCTCTTTTCCACTGAAATTTCCCTGAAGCAGAGATTTCCAAGCACCCTGTCCTCAGAGCACACTTATCTGTTAAGGAACCCATGACCTGTTGTAGAGCTCTGGCTGCTCTGTTAGCCACATCAACAAGCCAAATTTGTACAGCATGACAAACCAAAGGTAATTATGGAAATCCTACTTGCACACAACTGGCACACATGGGGGATGAAGTTAAGTCACTGTGGCTTATTTCCCCTCCTTGACTGTGCAAAACAGGTCTGTATCTGTAATACCAAAGTAGCAAGAATTACTATTCAAATGGGGAAGCACAAAAATTAAAAAAACATGGAAACAATATAGGTTAATTGTAATTTTTTATTGGAAAACAAATATACAACTTGGAATGGATTTGAGGCAAGTTGTGCCATAAGCAGATTCTTTTGAAAATAAGTGGCTGAACAAAAATTTTTTTAAAAGCATAGTAACCATAGAAGAAAATGTCTTCTGGTACAGGACCAGGAGTACAAAAAATAGTGTACGAGTACCTGGATAATACACCCGTTTTGCAATAGTGCAAACTTTTAAGTTCCATATTGTTGACTGTCCATAGTCCACACAAAGTTAAGACTACATTTCAACAACATGCTAAATTTCCTAAAATAACTAATTTTAACAGGCATAACCTAGATGTTCCCTCGTTTGATCAACACCATCTAGCTTCGGAAGTGTGGAAGGGCTTAAATATCCAGAGTAAGCCACATGCAAACATTTGTTACTTTGATCATTTTCCCAAAATATCAGGATGACAGATAAAGGGAAAAACATGGAGGAATGAGTTTGTTACTATACATGCATATTCTCTTGACAGTAGGGGAAAACCTTTTACAGATAAGTTACAAACAGAGAAAAAGGCAAATAAACATTTTGTACAAGAAATTTTAACACATTCTGTACAGAATCTTCACTTTGCTGTCATCATTTGTACAAACTCTGTAAAGGAAGAGACAAGATGGTCAAGTTTGTTTAAAAAATTCTGTCAGATGTTCAGATTAAAAACTAGACAATCTGCTTTATCTACCAATGTGCTTCTATTTATTCCAGCAGTTTTCCACAGGACAGCCATCCTACTATCTGCTCTCTGCATGAGCCTATAAACATTTTGAACAAAAATGGGGAATATGTAGACCTCCAGATACTCTTATAAATCATCCATCACCACTAGCTATACGGTCAAGGGCTGACAGAGTGTAACTCCCAGGAACTTCTAGAGAATCACACATTTCCCATCCTTGATTTAGAGAGATTTTCATTCACAATTCTAATTTCATTTACACTCTTCCTAACATTTAAAAACCTCTAGTTGTTAGTAGAGTTAGCAGATGATTCTTCAATATGTTTTGAAAAATAATCTTTAGCAGTAACAGGAACTGAAGTCTAATTACTGGGAATATGATCAACTACTCAAAACACTAATGTGAGAGTTTGCATTAACAACCACCTATAGGCACCCACTCTATTTTAGGTGCCAAGACATTTATTTTCATTTGCTTTTTATTAATGTCATTAAAATAATTATTTGAACATTATACCTCATTTCAATTTTCATTTGCATTGTAAATAGCACTGTGTAAAGAGTATATCAATGCCTTAAATAAAATTGCTCATCAGATTATTCCTGGCCCAATGCACTGAGTGGTGAATGTACTGTTACATAAGTGGTTGAGCTACAGTGTAAAAATAATTATTTTATAATTAGAACAGTGTCACTAAATCTTGGAACAAAACTTTGTCTCTCCTTTCAAGCTACCATAATTAAAAAAGAAACAGGAATAACTGAACTGCTTTGATTTGATGTCAACTATGTAACCTACTGGAAGAACTGTAGGCTAGCTAAAGATGGACTTGAGAATGTACAAAGACAACCTGAATACTTTATACCTTAACATAACTCAACAGTCAAGATCAATTTCGGGTTTCTGAAAGTTAAGAGCCCATCACAGTGTGCCAGTGGCAACTGAGGTAAAAGGAACCCCTCACAAGCAACATTTCAAAGTGTTGGGAGGGGGGGGGGGGCGCCCAGGGCAAAGTATCAGCTAATTATTTGCATTAGGCTTTGATGCAAAATTAGAAGTGGTGAGGAGGACAAGTCTGGAAAATCCCAGTGCATGAACAGAAGAAAATCTGAATTCTTTGGATCCTGGCCAGTACCTTTAAGCAGTTCAGTCTATCATCCAATTAGAAAATTGTTCAAGACTTTTACCTTCATAGTTTACTTGACCATCACCATCAATATCTGCTTCTCTAATCATCTCATCAACTTCTTCATCCGTTAACTTCTCTCCAAGATTTGTCATCACATGACGAAGTTCTGCAGCACTAATATAACCATTACCATCCTGGAAAACATTAAGACGTTAGCTTCTCTGTATTTTATATGAATAAATTTGCTGTATTCAAATCTGAACTAGTTATCCCTAACAGAGCATGTGCATGGCACAAGTCAGTAACCACCATGATCAGGTGCATCATTGCTTCTACTTCTCCATCCTATACTCCATCCAGACAGAGATGGTACACAAAACTGAAAACCACAGTATCTTTTAATAGTTTGGGTATATAGTAAGTACATATACAATGTGAAGTTTCTAGCTCTTACTTCAAACTATCCAAAGTATTTTCAGTAAACCCAGGATGTTTAAAAAACACTAAGAAATATAATGTTAATTACACTTGAGAAACTGGTAATATGATGCAGCTGATGGGTAGAATCAGAGGTTATACCTTAAGCATGCAACACTAAGATAGTTCCATGGAAGAGTAAAAGAAAGTCAGTTATGAATTAAAGTCCAGCACAGGCACTTTAAAACAAACCTGAATTATATATGGTGATGACAAGTATGAATGTATGAGTGCTCAACAATTTTTAAACAACCATGTTGTTAATTTCATTTCTATACCACCCAATAACTGAGCTCTCTTCTGGCTGGTTCATGGTAATTCATAAACATAGCAATAATAGTAAAATGGATGCACTTAAAATACTAATACAATGAAATAGTGTAAAATTCCAATATACAAATTTTAACACAATTTAAATTAAAATTATTTCTGTAAAAGCTAGACCTCTCAAAACATACCCTATCATATACCATTAAATGCCTGGAGCAGAGGGTAGTCTTAATCTGATACAAAAAAAAAAGCCAATGCTGACACTAGGCAGGAAAGATCATCACGTAATTGGGGTGCCACCACTGAGAAGGCCTGTCTCCTTGTTGGCTCCTTCTGGGCGTCCCTTAAAAGTGGTTTTAAGGCTGGTTTTAACTGTACACAATGCTTCAGCAACCATTTATGGCAAATATTGCTAAAGTGTGCTTTACCGGAATGACTAGGTTTCCTACAGTATTTTAGTGTTCCCTTTTATTACCTCAACAAGAAAAGATTAATCCCAGATAAAACAGCAAGTGTTAATGCATCATACTGCTGTATGAGTATCACACTTTTTAAATATATAAAGTTCAGCTTAGTTGCAAATTCTAGTTGGGATGTCATGAATAGTCACAAACAGCTGCCAAAAGCAGCAGGAACAAGCCCCCTAAAACCATTACAGAAAATCACCTATCCACAGATCAATTAGGGAGCTTTAAGAACCACTTGCAGAAGTTCTCTGGGAATACCACCAAATATTTTTCAGTGGATGCTGATCTGGCAACTAAACACAATGGTGTAACGACTGTCTCATCAGCAGATCTCATTTCAGCAAGACTCATACAAAATGAAAGGCACTCCAAGAGCAGGAGTCTGACTGGATTCTCTGTACTAAGTGTAATGATTTACAGTGTTATGCATGTGTTCCTTTAAATGTTGGTAAGTTTCAGAAGGTTAAGGGAAGTAAAAGAGGGGGATGAGTGAGGTGATTGGTTGGTGACTGAGAGTGTATGGGCGGAGCTTGGAAGTGTATGAGGAGAGAGAAATAGATACTTTCAGTCAGTCAGTCAGTTGTGGTCTGTCAGCAGTTAGTCAGTTGAAATCAGTCAGCGATCTGCAGAATCTGAAGAGGCAGCCTTCTCTTTAGAAACCTATACAGTGCTGTGAAAGGCATTTAAGATTCAAAAGGAAAGGCAAGTAAGTAGAATACTTAGAGGACATATTAGTGACCAGGGAGAATCAAAACCTAATATTGTCAAGTACTATAAGGTTGTAAGATAAAGAAACTGAAAGAAAACTGAGCGCAGAAGGGAAAGATTAAACTGATATAAAGACTGGTCAAAGTACTTTCAGGAGAGTAAGGAGAATCTGTGAGTGAGGAGTGTTTGTGAAGGGAAAGAAATACCTCAGCTCACAAGTTATTATACACTGTTTTATTAAGGAAATAAGTTACTGAACATTTTGAAACCAGAAACCTTATTGTACAAATAAAGTTTTGTTTATTGTTACCCCAGAGTCATTAGGCTGTTTGAATACCAGGGTTTCATCCCCAGGAGCACATAGTTCAACGAAGGAACCTTACAGCTTGGGCACAATATTGAGAGAGAGTTTAATTAATAAGATTGGAATTAAATTTTTGGTGGCAGTGTTACATACTGAGAAAGAGAAGGAAATATCAAGAAGTTAAAGACACTATATTGAAACAAAATATAGGAGAGTACTCATGACACTAAGTTTAATAACTAGAATGGTATCACCTATCCAAATGGTCATGGCATGTTGAATATAATATTAAACAGAGATCTAAACCAGAAACTTGTATTCTAAAAATGGGATTTTCCTTTCTATTTATTATCCAATAAGTCTCCAAAGTACATCATTGAATACCTTATCAAATACACGGAATGCTTCTCTAATTTCCTCTTCGCTGTCTGTATCCTTCATTTTCCTTGCCATCATTGTCAAAAACTCCGGGAAGTCAATTGTGCCATTGCCTGTAAAACAATGCTGTTGTTAGTGAAGGCCCCTCAGTTTTAGTTGCTAAACTGTTTTAGATTAAATTTACCATCAGCATCTACTTCTGTTTTAGATTAAGCTTACCATCAGCATCTACTTCATTGATCATATCCTGTAACTCTGCTTCTGTTGGATTCTGCCCAAGTGACCTCATCACTGTCCCCAGTTCTTTTGTTGTTATAGTACCATCTCCATCTTTGTCAAATAGTGAAAAGGCTTCCTTGAATTCTACAGGACAGAAAGATCAGACAGATTAAACTCAAGACTATACCATGCTAGTTCTGAA